CTTAATATGTCTAATGTAGAAGAAAGCATCAAAGAAGGCACCTTCTACCTCAAAGAAGGCCAGAGCTCTCTCCATCAGCAAACAGAGCAACACCATCCAAAGGTAAACAAAGTGTACAATCCGCTAATATTAAACACACCGATTTTGTCCTAACAGTGTTCCCTCACAGAATCCCAATGGTTTGTTCTGGGAGTCTGAATCCATATTTGCTTTTTGTACATAGGTCTACAAGAAAGCCTCTGATCACCCCTGCTAGAAGTTTACTTGAGTCTTCAATCATTGGCGCCACTCCGCTTATCACACCACGCTTTGACCCAAGGTAAATACTTACACATGACATTGTGGCTTTGATTGTGATTTGCTTGAATATTCATGACTTTTTAATATATTTATTGACTTTCACAAATGACACATTTACAAAAAGAAAAAATAAGTTTCAATCTACAAAATCCCATTTCATTATATCAAACTAGACCTGGAATTACCTAGTCCCCATCTATGAAATGTAAACACAATTTTTGCATCCCTAAGGTCCAGATAATTTAAAAAAGTTTTCCAAGCTGTGTAAAAACTAGTCTGATTGATGACATTTTTCTAAGGGCTATTTGTGTAAATGTCTTTTATTTTTATTTATTTTTTTGTCGTCAGATTGCCCAAGACTCCAGCACTGAGACTTGCACGTCACAGGGAGAAGGTGTACAGCATGTCTGTTAACGGCTCACCTATTGTTGGCTGTGGAGAGGACATTGTCATTAGTGTCCCCCTCGCAAACGGAGAGGTGGGTGATTTGCTACCGCTACTAATGAAGTTAAACACATTGTGTATGTATGCATACATGACATGTTTTCTTTATCATTTCAGTGCATTCAGCTGCTGGCCAGTGAGATGGACTCTGTGGATCTGAGTCAGCTGGATGAGAAGGCCCTACGCAGTATCAGAAACCTGCAGGTATGTGTTGCTGTCACTGATCTATAATAGAGAACATTATATAATATAGATCAGTGGTTGC